CGACGACGACGACGACGTCGACGACGACGACGACGACGACGACGACTACGACGCCGACGGCGACGACGGGCACGGCGATTTCGACGACCCTCTCGACCCTGACCTTCCAGAGAGCTATTTTTTTAGCACGGGAGGCCTAAAAACATAAAAAAAACGAAACGAAACAGCCAAGACGTATAATTGCTCTGGGATAGGTTTTTAAGTCGCGTGCTATTTTTTAGCCCTCCTGGAAGGTCAGGGGACCCCCCCCCCCGCCGCGCTCTCCGCCGAGCCTGGCCCCGGGGCGCGCCGCAGCCGGCGCGCACGCGCGGCCCTTCACACATGGTGCTGGCCGGCCGCGGCGGCTCCGCGCGGGCCGCCGCCGCGGGGGGCGGCCTCGGCCCGCTGCCGGCGTGCGCGGCCAGTAGGGGGCCACATGCGAACCCTGTCCCTACCCCTCGTCCTCCTCCTCCTCCTCCTCCTCGTCCTCCTCCTCGTCCTCCTCCTCCGATCTCTGAGGGGGAGGGTGGGGTTCACTTCGCTCGAGAGAGCTCCCGAGCGAAGGGAGAACCCCGCCCTCCCCCTCAAGAAGTCGTGGGGGGCAGGGGCGGGGTGCGCATATGTGGCCCCCCAGCCAGCGAGGCGGGCCTCGACGGCCGGGCGCTGGAGGACCACCGCGGCAGGGTGGCGCAGCAGAGCCGGGAGGAGAAGAGGCGCCACCACCAGGATCACCACCTACCTGGTTCTGGTTGACCCATCCTCCTCCTCCTTCTCCTCCTCCTCTGGTTCTGGTTGACCCAGAAGGGCACCGCCTACCAAACCACCCCAACCCAACCCGAAGGCCTCCATTTGCCCTCCCTTTCCAGTGGGGGGGGTCGGGGAGCATTGAAAAACACATGGGACCCGTACCCCCCCCCAACCCGAAATTCGGTTCAGATTCGGGTCTTCGGGTTGGGTTGGGGTGGTCTGGTAGGTAGTCACAGGAACTCTGGGCGCTCCGCGCGGATTTCTCGGATCCGCGCGGCCCCCCCCCCCCCCCTGGCAGCACATTTGGCGCCGCCCCCGGCGCGCTCGGGGAGGAGGTCCGGCGCAGATGCGAGAAGTCCGCCCGCGCGGAGCGCCAAAAGTTCCAGTTTGTGGTGTTCCTTCTCCTCCTAAGATCACCCTCGGCTTGTTCCCGGGCGCGGCCGAGTGCGTGCTGGCCCCAGACGCGGGAGCGTCCCAGAGGGGGGTACGGATTAGTTCGGATGCATTTCCTTCCAGGTTCAGCTCTGACTTTGCCCTGGTCCGAGATCCAGGTTAGTCTGGCCTAATCCCGGTTCGTCCGGCTTAGTCCCGCTTCACCCGCGGCCTATTCTGGCGCAGCAGCCTCCCAATCGAGCTTGCAATTCTCCCTGGACCCTCCGACGAAGGCCTTCCAGCGGATGCCTGCTAAGACAAGGGGGGGGGGGCGGCGCGTAATGGTTGTGGCCGGGGCCAGGAAGTCTCCCAGTGGGTGGTCATGGCCCCTTCTGGCTCCGTCCATGCACTCCCTGCCCTCCCCCCTCGTCCGCGCAGGTGCCTGGGGCCATGGTGCGCACCCAGACGTCGGGCGTCTCGGAAGCTCGAGACGGAGGTTCTTCGCAGTTTGTTAGCCTCTCGGGGCCCCCACCGGGCCTCGGGACCGTCAAAGAACAACTCGGCATGAAAAGTCGGTCCCGGGGAAGTGGTCGGGATGTCGGGGGCCCGTGTCACGAAAAAATCGAGACGTCGGGTGTTTGGGCATCCTCCCCCCTCGTCCAGCCCCCCCCCCTCTTCGGCGCACCCGACAGACCGCGTGGCGTATCTCGATACTCAAGGCTGCACCGACCTGTCCGCCCAGACGCCAGTCAACAGCAAGACGTTGTTCAGGTGTTTCTCCATGACGAAGCCAGTGACAGCCGTCGCTGCTATGCGCCTGGTGGAGATGGGCAAGATTGCGCTGGACGACCCCGTCGCGAAGTACATACCCAGCTTCGCGAAGTGCAGGGTCGTGAGGAAGGAGGCCCGCGATGACTCGGCTGTCGACGCGGAGCACCTGGAGCCCCTCCGGAGGCCCCCCACTCTGCGGCACTTGCTGACCCACACCTCTGGGCTGGCCTATGGGCCCGACCGGTATGTGGCATCGGAGAAGCTGAAGTCCAAGAATGCCGACGAGGAATCCGGCTGCCTGCGGCACTTCCCGCCACCGTCCCAGCCCAGCATTCCGGGTGGCGTTTGTTCGATGGGGGCACGGGAGGCCGTCACGTGTGGCACGTCGTGTCTGCAGGTTTGGGGGAGATTTGATGAGTATTATGAGGATAAGGTGTATTAGGATGAGGACGATTCTGACTATCATACTGTGTGTGATTATGATGATGATCACTAGGAGGAGGAGGAGGAGGAGGAGGAGAAAGAAGAGGAGGCGTCTGAGCAGGAGGAGGAGGAGGCGGAGCAGGACGAGGAGGATGAGAATATCCCGCCAGATCTAATGACCTTCGGCCCATCATGCCGCCGTGCCTGGGTTGTGGGTCTGACGCCTATTGGATGTTCGTTCGGATCTCGTGGGATGCCTCTCGGGGGGGCCTCTTGGAGTCAGTTTGGAGGCCCCTGGGAGCCGTTTTGGGGGCCGCTCGGTGCCTCTTTAGAGCCTCCTGCGGGCCTCTCGTAGCCTCTTAGGGGCCTCTTGGCGGCCTCTTGAGATGTCTTGGGCGCCTATCGGGGCCGGCCCTCTTGGGGTCATCTTGGGCCGTCGTGGGCGCATCTTTGAGTGCTTCTTAGGCCGTCTTGGAGGCCTCTTGGGCCGTCTTGGGGTGATCTTGGGGGCCTCTTGGGCCGTCCTGGAGAGCCGGGAACTCGGAGTGGCGAGACTGCCAAAAACCTCAAATTCAATTGGAAATGCATGATCTTTGCTTCTTGGGGCCTTCTTGGGAGGCCTCTTCGAAGCGCCTTGGGGCATCTTTGGGGGTCTCTTGGGTCGTCTTGGCCCAATTCTGCTTGTCTTGGGGCGATCTTTCAAGCGACTCGGGGCCCTTTTGGACATTCTTGGGGGGCATCTTGAGACTCTCCTGCCTGGCCCGTCTTGGGGCCACCTTAGGCCCGAGAACGTCACGCGACAAGATGCGGGGGAAGCCCAGTGGGCACGCGGCAAGCCCCAAGAGATTTCAGAGATTCGGGTCGGGGCCCCTAATTGACTCCTCGGAGTTGAAGACTGGGGCTCAGTGGATTGGGCAACGGACCTGAGGACACGCCCACTCTGTGCCCAGCGGCACGGTGGCGGGTATGACACTGTTCGTCTTCACGCGAGGAGTTCTCATGGAACTCGTTTGGACCGTCTTGGGGCTGTCCTGGCCTCCGCCTGTGAGGCGGTCTTGGGGGTCACTTTGCGCCGTCTTGGGCCGTCTTGGGCGCCTTTTACGCTGTCCTGGGGGTCTCTAGGGCCATCATGGTGGGTGTCTGGGGGCCGTCGTGGGGTTGTTTTGGAGAAGTCCTGGGCCGTCGAAGGAAGGTCGTCATCGGTCCCACAGGAGGCGTTCTTGGGTCGCCTTGGGTGCTTCTCGGGCCATCGTGGGGTCCATTTTGGGCCGACTTGGAGGTATCTTGGGCCACCTGGATGTCTTTTGTTGCCTGCGTGGGCCGTTCTCGGAAGCTCGGGACGCAGGCCCCATGTGTTTCGAGGGCGGCAGGGATCCTGGCCTTGGGAGCACAGCGCATTTGTTTGTTTTGTTTTTTCACGAGGCACTGTTGCCTGATGTCGGGCCTGTCCCTCTACAGGAGGAAAATCTCAGAAAATAGTCAGGGGCGATGTTTTGAATTTTTTTGTAACTGTTCATGGTGATTTTCTTGCGAAATTAAGTTTGTCCTGCAAATTCGCTTGTAGGGGGACATGCCCGACCTAACCGTTGCCTCAGGAGGGCGGTGTGCATGCGTAAGTCCGCTGGCAGAGCAGGTGGGGGGACCCCACTTAGGTTCAGAAGCCCTACCAGCCAGCACCTGGCATTCTGCCACGCCTCAGCGTGCCAGCGGGCACGGTGGCCGATCTTACGCCGCCCTGTCCCAGGCGGTCGACGACGGCCGGGTGCGCAGCCTCGCGAGGTTCTGCGACCAGCTCGCCGCGCTGCCGCTCCGGTTCCAGCCCGGCACGGAGTACCTCTACTCCCATGGCGTCGACGTGGTCGGTAGGGTGATCGAGGTCCGGGGGACCAAACAATTTACCAGCCTCGAACGTATCCCTATCCCTAAGATTGACACGCCAAAAGGCGATGAATCTTAAGGATCCGCCCTCAAAAAATAAGGGAATCCCTAAGATTTGCTCCGTGATGAGGAGGTGCCCAGCATAGGGATAGGGATATGTTCCAGGCTGGCAAGCAATGACATAAACTTAAAGCTCGGAGGTCCGCGCGTGTTTCACGGATCGGCGCAGGAGCCCCCTTGGCGGCGCCTCTGGCACCGCCCCTGGTGCGCTCGGCGCGCCAGGGAGGGGGGCCAGCGCCGACCCGAGAAGTCCGGGCGGACCTCGGCATTTTTATGTTTATGTCATTGTCCGTTCCCTTGAGGTCGTCTCGGGCATGCGGCTGGACGTGTTCCTGGAGGTGCACGTCTTCGGGCCGCTCGGCATGGCGCACACTTCCTTCTCGGTGCCGCGTGGGCCTCCTCCGCATCCTCCTCCTCCTCCTCACCCCCTCCTCCTCCGCCTCCTCCTCCCTCCGCCTCCTTCGCCTTTGCGGGGGTATCGCTGATAAGCAGCTTCGGTCCCTCGGCAAACCCTGCGCGCCCCCCACCCGCACGGGGCGTGCGTATCTCGACCGCATTCAGAATGGGCTTGTTCCAAAGGTCCTCAGCAAGGCCGAACAGCTACGTCGGCAGCCAAGGCCTTAATTTTCTCCCTGCGCTTGTTACTCATAACCTGCTGTCGCAGATGGTTCATACTCATACTCCTCCCTCCTCCTTCTCCTCCTCCTCCTCCTCCTCCCTCCTCCTCGGTGCCGCGTGGCCGCATCGGCGTGCTGGCCACGATGTACAAG